TGATGGAACACGTTGGAATTACAGGATGAATTGGAAGTGAATTCGGTGGAGGGAGGGGAGAGGATTTAGAAAAAGTTGGGGGAAAAGGGAAGGAAGAAAGGAAGGAAGAGTCGAGCGAGAAGGGGATCGGTTCTGATTTTTACCTTGGGTTGAACGGAATGTTTCTTTCGTTTCCCGTGTACGAATAACGCGGGATAGAGATAAGATATATAATCTATGCTCGTGGTAATGTTTTCTTGTCAAATCTCTCGTTTCTCTTCTCTTTCGTTCTTCTTTTTTCTCCTTTATGGAGAGACAAAAGCGAGAAATTATATTCGCGTTCTCTATTTTTCGCCACCATCCAATTAACGTTCGTTCGAATCGTAGGGGAGGGGAGAAAAAAAGTTTACGACGTCGTTCGAGATTATCTCGCGTCCAAAACGATAAATTTCTTTCTCTCGTCGAGGCAATATATATATATATGTATATATATTTTATATATATACATATATAAAATATACAACGATTCGATAAACGTGACGTAACGGGATCTAATAATCTAATAAAGATGGGAAAAAAAAACGTGCCGTTCAACCAAGATATCCTTGCCAACGGGAAGAGGAGAGAATAGGATTCGAATTACGTTTCCATTATTATATTTCCATTGCGAAAAGTTTAGTGAAATAATAGAATCGATAAAATTATTGCTGCACCACGATTTTTCTCCGCGAAGGGCAATTTATTTTTTTCTATCTTATCTATCTTTTCCACTTTCTTTCGAAGAAAAATAATACGATATTCGGTTCGTTCGGTTAAAAAAAAAAAAAAAAAAAAAAAAAGAAAAGAAAACGAACCGAACAAATTTGAAATCCTTAAATTGCGGGAAAAGGAGAAGGATTCTCTTATTCTCTCTGTATTGCTAAGTCTTCTTTCTTTCTTTTCTCCTTCCTTTTTTTGACAGAGCGTTCGTTAGAGATATGTATGCGTCAATGCACGAGACGCGTCGAGTTTCGACTTGACGAATGGAGCAAAAATGCGTTCCGACGAGCTTGCAACTTTTTTCGAAATCGGGATCCCTCGACGAAGGAAGTAACGACGCGACGCGTGCCCTCTTCTTCCGCTTCTCGCGCGGAAACTCGTGCACACGTGCACACATACATACATACGAATTCGTCATTATATACACTCTACTACATTTCGAGTTTTAATCAACGACGAACGTATGTCGAAATAACAAGTGAATTCATCGTATCCTACGTATCCTCTGATGCGACTTCTTTCCGTATAATACGTGTAATATAATTAGTCAGTTCTTTGCGCGGTACAAGGCTACGAGTACAACAGAAACGCGTGTCGCTAGAAACATCATCTAATCTAGATTCACGAACTAATCCTATTCTTCTAGAATTCTATTCTAGAATTATCAACTAATCTGGAGAGAAAAGAAAAGAGGAGGAACAGGAGGAGGAGGAGGAGGAGGAGGAGGAGAAAGAGGAAGAGAAAAACGAAAAATACTCGCAAACGAGAAAAAAAAAAAAAAAAAAAGAACGAAACCATAAAAGTACATATGAAAAGTATATATATATATATATATCTTTTTCTTTGAAGGAACGAACAAACTTTCTCGAGACTTGCACGATAGAGAAGCAGAACTAAGAACGTTTTGGAACGGCTTTTCTAGCAGAGAGAAAAAAAAAAAAATATCCGACATTCGACACCAAGAATCAGACACTTTTTAGCGCATATTTAGCTTCCATTCCTATTTATAATAAGAAAGAATGCGCGAAAAAATCATTTTTCACGTTTCAACCACCATCATCATCATCAAGATCCTAATCGAAAGTCAACGAACACCGATGAAACACGAGTTGTTGGCCATTGTTTCTATCTTCCCATTGGCAAGAAAAAACAGGGAGAGGGGGAGGGATAGGAGGGAAAGAGAAAATAATAATAATAATAATAAAAACGAGAAAAAAGAGAAAACATCCTTGCCTGTCACTTCTCCCCGTCCATCGAACTCGTCGGGCCCTCTCGTTCCGTACGATTCACCCCGCCCTGAGTATCCTTTTGTACGTNTCTCGGGGCAATCGCGTGGCACGTTCAACGTCCCTTTGTGCAACACGTGGCTGAGCACCTCCTCGTTCGAGAAACCCTGGTACGGGATCTCGGCCAGGGTGAGGATCTCGTAGAGCACGACGCCGAACGACCACACGTCCGAGTCGGACGTG